CCCCCACCCCCCTAGTTAGCTCCGGACTGGAGGAGGAACACAATCGTTTTCGTTCTCCCCGCTTGTTTTAACAGCGAAGTTACACGCCGGTGCCTCTGTAGTTGTGTGACTGTCTTCCTCTCTCGTTCTTGTGGTGAAACACACACCACTGCTCATTCAGCAGCAGCGAGAACACCACACCACCGCCGCCTCCCTCACTCCAACTGCTAATTGGCCTGCTGGGATGTGATGTCCTTCATCCACTGGTACGGCATCTCGCCCCTCTTCACGCGGTCCTCGAACTCCTTCTTGATGCTGCGCGAGAGTTCAAGGCCGTTGTACACCTTACTGATGCAGCGGTCGAGGCACGCCTTCTCTCCAGGGTGGTACGGGATGGAGTCCTCGCCGTAGTGCGTCACGCACTGCCGCGCACAGTACATGAAGCCGCCTTCACTGATGAGCTGCATGCGCTCCGCCAGCACCAGGACATCGCGTTGCGGCATGCCGGGAAGCTGTGGGTTCGGCATTGCTGGTTGCATCGCGGCTTGTGTACACCTAATTAAGTGTGCTTATGTGTCTGTCTGTTTGTCTCTTTTCGGTGAGAAGCGCAGTAAGCTCTCTGGCAGCGATGGCTGGCCCCCTCCCCCTCTTTCCTACTCTCCCTGCCGTGCAGCAGCATCAGCGAGGGAAACACACACACACAGACACAAATGCAAGAGGCAAAGAGACGGGATGAAGAAGAATAACGTGCAACAAAGCAGAAGGGAAGGACAGTAGTTATTTGTTCCCCCCTATGCCTTACCGCATCCACTCTGCCCTCGCTTCTTATTAGTTCACCGACGGCAGCAGCAGACCAGCGTACAGAACCCCGACAGAGCCTCGTCCTGCCTACCGTTCATACCAACCTGTACGCCCACTTCCTCCTACACACACAACAAGCAGAGAACGAAGATCCATCACAAATCACAACACTCCTCGCGCGTATTTACACTTTTAGTTGGTCTCCTGGCCCACCCCCTCCGCTGCTGCAGCCTTCTTGCTCACATCATGTTATTGCCACCCTAACCAAGAGAAAGACGAGGATAAAGAAGAAGAAGAGCGTAGCGCCGCACAGACGCCGGCACCTCTTTCCCCCCTCTTTTTTTTTTTGACCCTTCCTGTTAGACCCACCAACCGCAGCGTTCCAGTCATTCGGGGGTCGTAAAGAAAGGGTGCTGCAGCGCTTCCTCCGCAGTGATGCGGCACCGGGGGTCGTAGTCGAGCATCCGCCGGCACAAATCATGCAGCTGAGGGTACGGCCCAAGCACCTCCTGCAGTGTCGGCTGTGACTTGACGTAACGCACCTCTTTCTCCACCTCCCCGCGCCGCTGCCGCCCTTCGATTGGAGCTGGAGGCCACGCTAGCTGCATGGTGGATGTGTTGAAGTACTTACCGAAGTGCGTCCCCTTGCAAAACACACGACGGACCATACTGTTTTTGCCGTTGTCGCCGTGCGACACGTTTTCAACAGAGTCAAAGGCGCCAATGATGTGTTGCATCAGCGCAAGGTGCTCGAGGTCGCTCTTCGGCATGAAAACGCAGGCGCCAGTGAGCAGCTCGGGGATCATGCAGCCGAGCGACCAGATGTCGGTGGAGGCCGCCCAGCCGAGACCAAGCAGCACCTCCACGCTGCGGTAGTGGGTTGTCTGGATGCGGTGCTGGAAGACGCGTGTGACGCCGTCCAGCGCGCTGACAGAGTGGCAGCTGCTGAGAAACTCGGCGGCGCCAAGATCAATCACACGCACGCTGTTCGTCATGGGCAGCGCGACGTCCACAACCATGCTGCTTCTACCCACTTCACGCAACGGGGGGCACGCGTAGGAGCCGTGAGCGCCGCTGTCGCTACGAAAATACGTTGACTGCTGCTGCTGCTGCTGCTGCCATCTTTCTGTGGACTGCGACGCCGCGTAGGAGTAGCGAAGCTGTTCAACATTCAGCCGCTTTTGGAGTCTGCCGCACGACTCGAACAGAATATTCTCTGGCTTGAGGTCTGTGTGCACAATTCCCCGGCGGTGGGCGTGCTGTAGGAATAAAAGGATCTGGTAAAGCACCGGGCGCACCAGGGAGAGCGGCATGCCATTGTAATCCACATCAACAACAACGACACCCTGCCGCGGTGAGCCTCCCTGTTCGATAGCACTGGCAGGGCGGGTGTTCCGCGACACCCTTTCAACGGCGTGGGAGATCCTCCGCAGGACATCGAGCAGCGAGGCGCCAAGGATGGGCATCACTATCGCCTGGTGATCAGGGTGCGGCACGTGCGCGATGAGTGTGTTGAAGCGCCCCACCCGTCCCCAGTAATCCGACGAGTCGCCCAACGCACGGTGCCACGGCATGGAGGGCGCCGCTACATCTCCGCAACCGTCTCTGCTGCTGCTGCTGCGGCCGTGGCATTGTTGTCGTTGTTGTTGTGGCTGCTCGTCGTGTGAGGAGGGGCGACACAACGCTTTCAGCACCTGCACCTCGTCCCAACAAGCCCGCATGTATTTCCTTTCAGCACGAAATATTTTCAGTGCACAGTATTCACCGGTGCGGAGCGAGTGGCACAGCGCCACCTTGGCGTACGTCCCCTTGCCTAAGGTGCGCACGAACACATACTCGTCGTACAGAATCCAACAAGGTGGTCCCGTAACCCGTGGCAGCCACGTGCCACGTTGTTGTTCTTGTTCTTGTTGTTGCTGCAGCTGCTGTTCATCAGAATCCTGGCGCAGAAACGGGACGATATCCCACCGAAATCGCTTCGCGTAGTCCGCCGTGAAGGAAGGATATCTCTTGCGCCTGCCCGACTCCCACGATGACGCGCTGGAGCATGACGATCGCGGCGTGGAGGATGAGGGGGAGGAAGAGCGCGAGGCGTGCGTGTGGCTCGAGTCGCCGCAGCGCGACGACGACTGCGCCCGGCCACTGCGCCCGCCC